GATGGAACGTGGCGGGGACTTGACCTTTTCCCCAGAATGCCTTGGAAAACACACTGCAGCGTTCGATAAGCCTCATTTTAAGGCTTCCCTTGAGTGTAACACTGGTGTGTTCAGGAAAGCTAATCGAACGCACCCATAGAGTACCGAGGTGTGACGTCACTGTGAACCAGAAAGTGCTGTGCAAACGAATGGAGTACGCGCGCGTGTTGGTTCACGCGCTCATGCCTTTTACACACTAATTGTGCGCGTGACGTATTCACTTCGGTACTCTATTGCATCCAACATATTCTTGTTCTGGGGCAAGAAAGTAGTGAGATCTGTTTTTAGTCTTATTGCGGTTGCATGCTTGTCCAGAAAAATGAATGACATCACTGTTGGTTGACCGCATCATTAATCTGTTTAACACTTCTAGAGCCAAACAAGCTAGAAATTACTGAAGTGCATGGCTGCGTCCGATAAAATCTCGGCTGCAGTATTTAAACACTTGCAATGAGACGCGCAGCAGCCCGCCAAAAGATCTTTCCTTTCCTTCATCATGAGCGATGTTTTTCCAGCCGGAAGTACGAAGCCAAAAGACTAATTCACAACGCGTCGAGAAAAAACATCCACACAAGTATTAAAATGGTAATAATTTATACTTTCACCAAACCACAGAATGAAAATGCCTCCTATTTAACAATGACGCAGCAGACCCTGCATTTTGAGGTAAAGGTCAGTTTGAACATGGTCTGACCCAAACATTTCAGTGACTGTAAACAAAGGAGCGGCCTGTTGCTTTCACTGGTCTACGTGTTCCAGTCATTGACATTGTTTTCGGACGCACTCATCCGCAACGGAAGTGCTGTTCAAGAAAATGATTAGTTTTACTTTTTCCTTGTGGAATACTGTACCCATTATATTCATAACTATTCATATCATTTTTGACACCTTAAATGCATAATTATTTACCTGCAAGAGAAACTGTATTTGTGGTTGCAGTGCGCTCTGAACTGTATCCTGCTTTGCTCCATGTTTTAACGTACACATTATAAGTAGAGTATCCTTCTAAACCATGGATGATCGTCGACGTGGCAGTCTGGTTTGCGGCGAGCAGTCGTTGGGAATGGGACAATGGTTCGCACTGGTCTCTAATAATCAATTCGTAGTGAATAACGTAGAGTAAAGTGCAGGGGTTTCCGCTGGTATCCGGTGCTGACCACGTCGCCCAAATAGAAGGAACGCCAGCATGGGCTGTGGCCAGAAGATTACTAACGGGGCCGTGAACTATAAAAACATGAAAAGAACGTATGCATGTAATAGTCCAAAAAGGATTTGGGGGTGAAGTTTAGCATTACGTTATGTTTCAGTCGGGATCAAAACATTTTAGGTGGACATTCTGATGAAGGACCAGTCTTAGCTCCTGATACCAATGCTACAAAACAACGAAAAAACATCCTCACAAAAACCTTGAACAATTGACAAGACAAAAATCTGCAAAATTCAGGAAAATCTATTAAAGTATCAACTGATTCGAAACAAGACAACGTTTCGTTAGTGTATTTTGTCCATCGATATATCAATGTTACTTTGATATCACCAACAAGTCTTATTATTAATGACATGATATCGAAAATATCGAAAGGGCATCAGATACCGACAAAATAAATTCGATGTTTATGTTTTTACCTGTTTGTTAAACCAACCCAGAACACTCTTATTCAATTCATAGATAGTGGAAAAGTATTACAGGCTTTGAAAATTTAAGAACTTTCCGGCGACTTAATTTTTTTGCGCTACATTACCATCCAAGTTTCAGAGCCACATGGGCCAACGCCTTCAATACATCTTGTTTCTGCCTCTCCACAACTCGTTGTGTTGTGGGAACTAAACATGTCTGAAACTTCTCAACTTTTGAGTTCTATTGATTTGCAGTGTATGCCAAGTGCACAAACAAGTATAGGGCATGTATTTGCAGATGTAGATTTACATTCTGAGCATTGTTTACCCACTTTTCCCCTTAAGGGTCGACAATTTGTAAAGAAACTTTTAAATGCAAATGAGGCCTCTACATGTAAGGTCGCCTAAATACTGTTACATGCAATTGTGCAATACCTGTATAATTCCCCGTCAACTGAAAAGTGGATCGTTGATCACATGTCATTGAATTATTCGTTCTATTCAACGGGTAACGTTGAATAGAAACCAGTTCAGGCTCCTCTTTCACATATCTCTTTCACAGTAAGAAAAAGGAAAATAATATATGGACGGGAACCAATTTAAATTACCAGTGGATGGCGCTTTGGAACGAAAGACATGAAACGGGGGTGAACCAATCAAGTGAAATGAAGTTTGATTCAACGGGTGCCGTTGAATAGAAGGAATAATTCATTGACATGTTACGAGCAATCCACCGATCAAATGACAGGAATTTATGTAGGTATTGAATAAAAACAATCTACATGTATCTGATGTTGCCCAATTTGGAGAGCAAAGGCTGAAGCCATTTCTTAGTGGCACCGTGCTCGTGGACGTAGGGGCGATACACTCGCGTTGCATGCCCTGTTGTCCAATGAGCCCTGAGCTGGACCAAGAGAGGGCTCAATTTTACCAGCAACACAGGCTCCTTTGGTGGGAATATTGATCACCATTTTAGGTTAGAGATCAATGAGTAGGAACAGCACTTCGCTGGTTTACAAACGACAGTATGAATTACAAGCGTTACGGTTACATAGCTACCAACAAATCTCCCCACCCACATTGCTCTTTTCAACCGATGAGGGGGTGCTTCTGCTCAAAGTAGATAGAATACTCGACTTGCCAAATGCACGCGCACGTTGTGGAAAGTGCTCTTTAAGAATGTGGTGCCACTAAATACACAAATAAGGAATGTGCGTCATCTGTCACCTCATGAAATTATTCTTGCACGAATGTGAAACATTCATTACTAGATTGATACCATGCAATACATGTACCTGAATAGATTCTCTTCTAAGTAATAAATTGTTTTCTGTTAAGAGAACTATTAGGTCTCGCTCTCGTTTTAACATCCGTCACTTTGCAAAACGGACTCGGCGTCCGAAACGCCAACCACTTGTAGCACCGTAATAGACCGGTTTTTTTTTACCTTTTTTACTCTTTCTTACCTAGACTGAATTATGTCATATTAGAGAAAGAGAGACGGGGACCAGTCCAGTGCAGCTCAATTCGAATTCAAACAAACAAAGAATTATTCAATGACATGTGATCAAAGTATGTGGTTAACTGTGCAGACTAAGTGAACTGGCAATCGGTAAACCAAGTAACTTCAACTAAAACGTGCCCTCACGGTAGTTAGGCCACTGATTTGACTGGAAGAATAATACAACATGGATGGCGTTACGGTGAACAAATTTTGTTCAATTGATCAAACTAACACGAAAAATTGACAAAGTTAACATCACTTTTTTCATATTTCAAAAGCTATGGAAACAAGGGATGATTCACAACTAGACACGTGCAATGGAAACATTATATCAGTTTGTTTCGCCTTATGTGCTTTTGAAACAAAAAAATACTCAAGGTTTTTCGACAGAAGAACCCTCTTTCCAAGCGAATACTCTAGAATTAGAAAGGGAGCCTCATCGCGAGAGCTGCACACAAGATGATACTCACCTTTTGATGTGGTAGTAATTTGAATCGAAGGACTGTAGGGTCCAATGTCGGTGTTACGAAGAGCGGCAACTTGAAACTGGTATGCAGTGCAAGCTGTCAATGTCCTGATGGCAACTTGCAAGGAAGAAACCTCCTGACTTCTTGTAGTTCCAGCCGTCAGTCTGTATTGGTAACTCTGTATATTACCTCTTCTGTTGCCACAAGGCACTGCACCCCACGAGCAGGTCATATAATCCGATCCGATTCCGGTGCAACTGACACTCTCTGGAGGAGCACCAGGGGCTGAAAAATTAGTACAGAATATGATTAGTACATCCTGTTGCAGCTGACAATTTGAACTGACAGTCGGCGCGTTTTGAAAACACCACTTTAGGAAAAAGTTTCTTTGAACCCCCCCAAAAAAACCCCAAAAGGTTATAACTATATAAGCAGGAACATTTCCATGACGCACAATAAGAAGCTGAGGGTTTAATGTAGTTGTAGTTTCGAAGTGCTGTTGAGGGCCAACCTGCAAGTATTATTAAAAGATTTTGGTGGATGGGGAATGATTCCATTCACAATAAATAAAGCATAACATGTTGAAGATCTATGAGCAGAAAATAAACTGCACTGAATTTTTAGTTCAATAGCACATTGTCTGTGTGAATTCACACGTGCGCTGCTAGAAATTGAGGTGATGTTATAAAATTACACGAAAACAAAGAGGATTTATTTAATTGCAATAATGTTATCAGTATGGCAATAGGATTGTGGTTGTGATCCTCACTTTGGGACTGGCTGAATATGTTTGGAGCAAAACAAAAAGACCTGTAGCGAATCTTGTTCGAACTTGGCAAGACTCCAAAACCCACAATGCAAACATGCAGAGTGACCAAAGTCACCGACTTTCCGTTCTTTCTGATGTGTCATTTAATTGCCATGACTGTGCGTTTAAAGGGTAGTTACTCTTCACAAGTTAAGGGCTTCAGGTTTGTAGGCCTTTCTGATACCTGTCTCGGATGTTGTGACCTGAATTTGGGTGCTTGGTACTCCAAGCCCCGCCGAGTTCCTCCCCCGCACTTGAACTTCGTAAGTGGAGAAAAAGTAAAGGGACGATTCTGCTTGACTCAGTCGATAATTGGTGTTCGTCGTTTGGCGCAAGGTTTCGAAGCTCTCGCCAACAGTCCTACACTGGTCCCTGTTAATTAGTCGGAATTGCAGCGAGTAACCGATGATTGGGCAAACTGAACTGGAATGAAGTGCGCTCCATCTAAATCGCCATGAGGTTCCTGAGCCTGTAATCCGGAAATTTCTCACAACTCCGGGAACTGCAGTAGAGGGTTCAGAAGAAACAAGATAAACAAGAACCGCCATAGTATCAGTGTTGGTTAATTAGTATAGCTATAGAACAGCATAATAAGCGCCACAACAACATGCTGCCAGAATGAAAGTGAAACGAGACATCGGTGAAATGTCTATTCGTACAATTTGAAATGAATCCCCTGCCAGATTTGCAGTGCTGGTTGTTTCGTTTTTGTCGGAAACCGTGGCTGGCTGGTGATTCTTCCTGCACTCTCTGTTTTATAGTTCAAGATTTGTGCTTCTATCTTGCAAGCTTAAAAGTGCTGTCTGTCAGGGGTGGCTCCAGAACTAAATTTTCGGGGGATGGTGAAACTTCTGTGCCCGGCGGCAGTCTTTTTTTGTAACCTGTTGTGGTCTCGCGTACAGGGCTGGGGCCTAATTTGGGAACGTTTTACATGCTTCAGGAATGAAAAGAAGCCCAATGCTCAGTTGCATTTTCTCATTATGATTAAAAAAGGTTTGCCCCTCGTTGGCGCAACTTGTATCCACTAATGGCCACCATACGACCAGCAAGCTAGGTACGGGGCTAAGTAGCTACATGGGTACGGTTAAATCTAAATTATGTTCGCCATTTATCCGATAAAAATTGAATAAATACATATTCAGGTAGATTTAGCCTCTCTCCCGTTCCCCCAAAAGCCATTCAAAACGGTTCCAATTAATGGTCAATGAAGGTAAATTTTTGAAAGTCTTTTTCGGTAATAAACAGAAGGCAATCACGTGATACAGTGCACAGTATAAGCCAGCGACTACGGACAGACTTGGGGATTTAAGCCCCATGGCATCCCCACAAGAAAACTAGACAAGAAAAATACGGTGTCCGGAGGCGAAACTTTAAATTTAACACTAAAAATAAACGCACTGACGCTTTGGTGTTTTAAAACGAACCATGGAGGAATCGGAAAAGATGGATACTTCGCCAATCAACTTTCGAACGTAGTGGTTCAAGTTTTTCAAATGTCAACTATTTAACAGCTAAAGTGCGCCACCTGTGGAGACTTTTTAAAACCACTTGTAAAACAATGTTCATAAAAAAAATAGTTGTGTTGGAGCCGACATGACATGTTCACAACAGCCCCCTGGCTTAGCCCACTGTTCATTTACTGGTATCCCTCCTTGTGTCTGCGTAACCGCTCATCCATGTGCGAGGTTAATAATATTTCTGCGGGGTATGACAAGATTAAATTCCATTTTCCGATCAGGCCAGCGTGCAAGTTGTCAGTTGTACGTTGAAAAATTGAACCACAACGTTTGAAAAGTTGCACTATTCGACTGAAAAGTCCGATGTTTGAAAGTTGAACCACGACGTCAGATAAGTTAAACCACAGTGTTCGAAAAGTTGAAGTGCGACATTTGAAAGTTGAACGGTAGCATTTGTCTGTCCATCATACAACACCATAGGAGTACAGAGGAACTTGTAACGCAGCCATGTGCACATGTGCACATGTTTCTTTGGCTGTTAACTTCCTGTGTTGTACGTAGACACTACCAACCCATCATCACGGTTTTCGATAACAAATCTTGCAACAAAGAGCGCCGCGTTTTCTCAAATGTTTTCTAAGCAGACATTCCAATATCGTCAAGATTTTTTCAATTCATTTCGAGGTAAATGTTTCCATACCTGAACAGGGTGTCACTGGATCTGAAGCGTTCCGTCTTGTCCTGACCATGAGGGATTCATCCAACTTACTGTGTGGTGCGAAGAGGCCTTTTCGAGAAAATAATTGTAGAAAATAGCCCAATAACTTCTGAGTTAGCAACCCAAGCAACCAAATAGTTTTAACATGTGTTGCATTGCCACCGTTGGTAATGTCTTTGACATGGCTTTAGCTCCTGTTCTCAGTTACTGGTGTTTTTCCTTTTGCAGTTCGTTAACAAGCCCCTGATAGAAATATAAGCCATGACCGTTTTAGTCATCATTCACTAATTTGTTACAAATGAAGTGATTTAGGAATTACATTGTGGTCCTTGTACATGTGCCACGAGAAATTCTGCCAGAGAAGCGAACTTACACCTGAGTAAGAACCCGAATACTAGGATGGCGACTAGCATTCCAACATGTCTTGTTCTGACAACGCAACATCCTGTGCGCAGTGGAAGAAGCGTCCCCATTGTGTGTTTCTGTGTGCATAAAATAAAATAAACCCAAACTCAACAGTTTGTCCTTAATCTGATGTTACATATTGAACTGTCGGGACTTTCAACATTCGGCACACTTTCAATGTTCGTTCGTTCACATTGGCCAAAGAAGGCCCTTGTGACTGTCAATGCGTCACAAATGAGGGGAAAGACACATAGTAGACGCGTCTCAAGGCGATGACCTTGCTTGTTTCATTCTATTCCATCGCATGGGTTTGGCTGTTACAGGTTTGCACGTTTATAAGCTAAAGCTTGGCAGCAGGACGCGGCGGCAAGTGTACTTCAATATGGCCTGAGGTTGAAAATCCCCTGTTTACTTGAGTTGAGAAAGGTATGTTGAAGCACATAAGAGCTAATGTTTAACTGGCGGACAATTAATGCATATAGTGACATCCTTCACATTACGTTTCTGATCAAAAAGGTATAAGCTAATCTTGTATCACGATGATCTTCCAGTTCCAAGCTCATTCAGTTTCTTCTACAAACCGAAAGAATATCGCGTCCATTTAGAGGTGCTCAAAATTAAAAATTACGGTGGCCTAGACATCTTGCCTTTATCAAACAAGTCAATTTGTTAAAACTAAGTCCTTTTGAATGAATTATGCAGTTTCTGTATAGTGCTTACTTTTTAAAAGTGCTAATTGTTGTGATAAATAACAAATCACTTCATAATATGTTGAATGACCTAAAAAATTAGACAGGTGTAATTTTATGAAGTAACACACTTAAAACTTTTTATTTCATACATAATAGACCTAACATTGTTAACCGTATCACAAGTTCATATAGACTCAAATGAGAATGCTAGATGCAAACAAGCAATGCAAATTTAAAAAAAAAAGTAACCCCGCCTGATTCTTTGTGCATTAAATATCTGGGAAAGTTAAACTTGCGTCTCTGTCCGTTAAGGGGTCCTCCTGGCCAAAATGAGTGTAATTCGTTGTCTTTGTAATTCCCAGCCCTTTGGAGAATACACAAAATACAAAATCATTGTTGTGTAATTGGAAAACCTAGATAACATCAACTGCGACGGAAGTAAAATCATAATTTTGGAATCAAGTCAAATTGTATTTTCTGTGATCTTTACTTTGTTCAGGATGCAACATGGACTTTTACTATTCTGTTCAATCTGTTATTTTTTTTTTAATCTAATAGTGTTAATTAATTAATTATGTCATTATCTGACAAATCAACAGAGTTGTGACGGTCACTAAGTTGTGTGAATCGAGTCAAGTCGAGTCATTAGGTAAAGAGGTCAAATCGAGTCGAATCAAGGTGTTTGTAGTCAAGTCAAGTGTATGTTTTCCTATTAATTTTGCACTCCTTTCATTTAAATTTGCTTAAAAGAAAGTTTATTTTCGTCAAAGAAGGCCATCCGCCCCAAACGTCGATTCCACTTTCGAAATAACACCACTTTCAGAGCACTGGAATTCAAGAAAGAAAACATTTTTATTCTTCCCATTTATCGTCATTTTTGTCTCACTCTGGGAATGGCATTAGATTAGAAATTCGTTTGTTGCCATTCATTTTACCGATTTAATCATTCAATTTCGTCAGTGGCATGACTGAAGATTTTATGACGGACATATTAAATGCATTTGAAGTGCAGTTGCAATTATTAAATTAACTCATGAAAACACTTTTACATTCCTATTGGTTAAATGCTTTCCTGGCAAGGTTTAAACTAAGGTTAAATGGGACACAAAGGTGCATTTTGGAATTCAGAAATTTACTGCAGCATCCCTTGAAATGAGCATTTTATTCAAAATTGTAAATACTGATTCCGTATTTACAAGGCTTTGAAAGTGTTGGATTCAACGTTTCCAAAGAATGGTCACTGACTGTACTCATACTAAATGCCTTTCCAGTTTAGATTGGTGTTAATGCTGTCGCAGGTGTAACAACTTCAGACGGTTGTTGACCGGAAAGAAGACTTTTGAAGGGTTAATAAAATGAGTTTTTCTTTGACAGACTTCTTGCGCAACTTTGTACTGTTTTTCATATGTGGAAATTATCAAGACATCCTTTGGGGTTCAATGCACCGAAAAGTGTACTCTTTTGAACATTTAACATTGTCCATATTTTTCCGGGTAACGGTTGCTGTGATGTCATTTTGAGAAGACAATGCTCAGTTTACGTTTTGTGCTCCAAAACGGTGAACCCAAAAACTTACTCATCGAAACAGTTTTGAGCAATTGTTACTTGATAGGTTATTGCCATGAACCTTCACAGTAATAAATCTCCAAAGAAAAGGGAAGTTTATGAAAGTAAACTATTTTCCCAATTGCTTGTACACAAATCAATGCAACATTGAGGGTTCTCGATGAGGTGACGTCACAATTTTTGGTCATGAAAAAGAATATCTTCAATAGCATAAAAATAATAAAATATCAAATCAAATATCTTTCGAATGAGCAAAACAAAAATAAACACACACATGCATACAGTCTGAAATGATTTTCATCCCACACACCCTTTATTGGCAATATTTTGCTTAGTACACGTAAGAGGAAGCAGGAAATACCAAAACAATTGTAGATACTGCACACCTATTACATTAGTAGTACCCCCTCATCGGCAAAGAATATGAGGCTGGTGGTAGGTTTTTTGTTTGCTTTTTTTTTTTACCGAGTTAGCGTACGGAGCAAACGCGTGGACATTGTACGGGGCTGGAAATGTAACACAGCTACACAAATAAAAAGAAAATTGTCACGCACGAACGTTATACTTTCATGGTCGTATGTCACAGTTTTAGTTTCACGTACGTACATGAAAAATGTTTATACGTTTAAACTATCACGTCCATACGTGACAGTTTAAATTGCACGTGAAAACTGCTTGTTTTATGTACGTACGTGTTCGTGCGTACGTGAAAGTATCGCATGAAAAAAAATTATGTGTAGGCCTATGGCGATAACAAGTTTCCGAGGAAACCGTTCTTGTTCCCTGGATCTATCTCATTCAATGCACTGGCAATCTGTAGAATGGGGTGGTGGGTTCCAGTCATGCCTCACTTTCATTTTTAGTTAACTGTGGCAACATTCAATTATAATTAATCACATACTCAAAATTATTCAACAGCGTGAATGAAATTAATTTCTGATGGACTTTATTTTACCACTTTCATTTTTGTTTTCAGGTCCCCAACAAAGGGAAGCCATTTTTACCGTGTTCCCTGAATTCCTCACTTTCAGTTGGTTCAAAACATTACACGTATATATAATTAATTTCACATTTCAAATAATGCATAAGAATGATGCCTTTAATATGGTTCCAAAAATAAAAATGTTAACCCGGCTTTCGATTCACCTATGGCCGAAAGATGATTTATACCAATTACTGTCAGTATTCGATAAAGGGAAAATCTCTCCATTTTAAACAAACGTGTGACAAGTCATTGTTGCCTCTTCTGTTGTCCATTTAGCCCACTTGTTCCTTTCAACGCGGGGGAAAAAGTATTTGATTTGAAAGGATGCATAGTGTTGGAAAGAAACTATTCTTCAAAAATATCCACTTGGACCCCGAAAGACTCTATTGTTTATCCCGAAACGAAGATAATAAAAACTAAAAATCCAATTATATCTACAAATTTATGTTTACCAAAAAGTCAATGGATCGCGATAGGTTTTTCCAGAAAGGTCAAAAAGGAAAAGTGTATAGGTTACATGTACGAATTGATTTAATTTGCTGTTTCGAATAAATTACATGCATCAGAAGTATAAAAGGACAGGAAGCAACGTCCAAACAATTTCTTTGTCATCGCCGTGTTTTTACCGACCTGATCTGAGCTCGGAGAGTGACAAAACCTTTGACTTTTGTGTAGTTATTCCAACATGCTTGATTTAAGTAGCAGTTCGCCGAAGTATATTTTCGTTCAGTAAATGACCGCTGCTACTAAATATTTGTTCCAAATGGCAATTTCGAGTCAATGACTCGACCCGTGTCCGACCCAAGTCACAATTTTTGGCAACTCGACTTGACTCTACTGGAGTCACCGTACTGGGAGCATAATTATGGCTCGACTCGACTCGAATCCCAAAATGAAAGCAAACTTCTTTGCGAAAAAAATTTTGCAATGACTGACAGTGCTGTTTATAGTTTTCATTATTATCACCAAGTCACATTTGGTGTGACCACATCGTCACCGACACCATGAACTGACACTCAGATGCAAGTGGGTGTCAGTTCGTGAAAATCAACAATATCCGTTTCAATAACCAGCACCCATTAGTGCGCCCGCACAATGGACACTTCAGATAAATGGACTGACTTTTTACCAACTGACACTCCAGCTTATTGCGGCAATTGAGCGCAGAGAAAAATGCTTTGAAAGGTTTTACATGAATTTAATCCATCCATATACTCTCTGTCTTACCCCAATATGTAATTGAAATTTGTGTTAACTAGTGAAATCAAGACCGGTAGGCCTATCAGTTCGTGAAAACGATCATGCACGAAGTGCACGCTAGAAGTGGTGCCAGAGCGTGAAAATAAATATAACTCAGTTTGCTAAAATGCGCACATTAACAAAATGAGATCACCGCGCAAGACTGAGTGTCACTGTCAGTTCGTGGTGTCGGTGACGACATGTAATAACCCAGAGGTAAATGCCAGAAAATGACGTTCTCTCATGTTTTTATTTTTCATATTTTTCTCATCTAGTTGTGACTCTAATTGACTCGAGCTAAATACTCGACTCGACGTGTAAAAAATATATTGACCCCCAATCTGCAAACAAATTTCAACCCCTTTGTGCAAAAAATATTGACCCCCTATGCGCAAGAAATGTATACACCCCCTACGGAATAAAAATTGACCCCTGTGCGCAAGAAATGTATACACCCCGTACGGAAAAAGTATTCATCCCTGGCACTATCCGGCTTCCGTAGTACCCGGCTTCTGTACCACTGTGAAGTCTTTATAATGGACATCAACAGTTCAGTGTGACGCAAGGGGGTCTCTACGTAAGCCCAATCGTCCAAGGTTTTAAAGTACATTTGTTATTGCGAAATAACGCAATAATTTTGCGAAATAACGCAATAGTTTTGTGAAATACGCATACAAGAAGAAAGCGCCCTCAATTGTCAGCCGTCCAAAACCAAGAGCAGCAAGGCAACACCTGGCCCGTTTTCCAATACTCAACTATGGCTCCGTATCAGACTTCAACTGTTTTTAGCACTAGCTGACTTTGAAGCTGTAAGCGCAGTAATCAGTCTAATAGTGCCACAGAACATGAAATAAGATGCAAAAAACAACAATTACAGTAATCCAATGTAATTTAAATGCTTCAGGCCCACAATCGCGGATTGGTTCGGGGAACGAAGCCTTCGCGGAGACGAAGTCGAGTATTGGAAAACGGCCCTGCTTGATAAGGTGAATCCTGCCAATAAGCACTTTTGTTCAATGCATCCATCGGCATCCATTTTGAAATCCAGATTCTTGTGTTTGCTTCAGTAAAAAAAAGAGCAACATCGACTATGGACGACTTATGTCGACATGTCTTCTTCTAAATAGTCCATATTGCGACAAACGTCGCTTTAATGTTCTTAAACTTACAATAACACGGTGATTCACAGCTAGAAACCATTAAATGTCAGAATACCTTAAACCAAGAGAGATGTAAAAGCTTCAAGGGTTTTAAACCTCATGTTCCTTTACAGACGATTACCCATGTAGGCCTACACAATCAACGAAACAACAGTTATCACGACAAGCTGATCAGTTTCGCAAAAGTATAGCGTTATTTCGCAACAGTATTGCGCTATTTTGCAATAATATTAGGTTATTTCGTAAAAGTATTGGGTTATTTCGCAAAAAAAGTATTAAGTCATTTCGCAAAACTATTGCGTTCTTTCGCAATGAAAAAAATACGTACTTCAAAAACCTGGCACGATTGGGCTTTCGTAGGTCTCGCTGTGCAGTTCGAAATCAATCCGTAATTTGCGTTTCATCGCGAACTGTGCAAAATTAGAGGATAATGCCATTCTGAACATTTCCCTCATAGGAAGCAAAAAAGATGCAGATAGCGATGCAGAATACAATGGGTTGGAGAATTTAATAGCAAAACTAGACTTTGCTGAAAGACGCAAACTGCGTGTACGTCAAATGGAGGATAAATAAAAAAACATTCCCAAATCGACTATTATTTCGATTATTTCAGTTTCAGTTTCAGTTTATTTTTCCTCTCCACTTATGCAAAAACAAACAAATACATGTGACATATACAGTGGACAGGAAGTGGAGAGGTCTGACAAGGCTTTAACCCTGATAACTTAATAAGTTACAAATATGATTTGAGAACACTAGACTAGGGACTAATACATAAACAAGTAAAGGAGGATGACAAAGCAGTATCGAATAGAAATTACACGTACTATCAGTATAATTAATTTACAATGGATGATGATTCAGGACATGATATATACAGCAACAATCAGTCATGATAAGAGTAATTATATGAGAAATATGTGATTAAATGAGAAAGTCAAAGTATTTGATGTGCATTGAGAAAGGAGTCGTAAAAATTACTTTGAAAACATTAATGCTACTTGCAATTTTCAAGGATGCATTTTAATGGAGCATTCCACAATTTTGGACCCTGGTATTAAACAGTTGTAAGATAGATATTAGTTCGGGTAAGAGAGGTATGAAAATAAGAACTTGGCGAGTAGAATGAGAGTAGATAACGTGGTTTCTAGAGAGTATAGAAGTAATGCAATTAGGAAGTACATTGTGAGATAACTGATACATCAATGTTCCAAGTTGGAAATGCAATATCTTTAAGTTTCAGGGTTCTGAAATGAGTAAAAAAAGATTTGTATGGGTAAGATAGAGCTACTAACTATTCATAGAGCCCCCTTTTTGGCAAAACCAATCAATTTAACAGGGGTGCACTTCCCCATGCTAGGATGCCGTTATTCAGACAAGGTAAAACAAGGTACAGTAATAAAGAGTTTTGTATAAGGAGAATAAGACATGCTGCAGCAAATATGTTTCAAGTCCATTTATGATACCAAAATATCCAGACACTAGTTTATATTATTTCAAAAATCAACTTAGGGTTTCCATGAAAGATTATTATCTATGTATAGCCTAGAAACATTTTACAACTAGTTCATTTTCGCCTTCGTGTAGCCAATTTAAAAAAAATTACACTCTATCCATGAATAAATCCCTATTTTGTAAGATTCAAACAATGGCCACACGCTTTTATTCCACTCTTGCTATTTTTTTCAATTTCTTGTTAGTGTATTTTTCTTTTTTAATTTCAGGTAAATGATAGGCCTATCAGATGTGGATGAGGATTTCTAAGCATTGTGAAATTATAGAAAACATTAAACTAATCACGATTTTCCAAAATTTTTCAAAAAAGATTGAAAATTCTCCGTTAAACCGAAATAATACAACTCAAAAGAAGTTCAAAAAGAAGTCGCCCTGAACACCCCGCACATTGCAACTTTTCTTACCTTTCACAGTCCGGCAGACGAGCTGACTCCAGATACAACTTAGTTTTGTTGGTTATCTTGATGATGAGTGACACAAATCAGTAAAAGACTGGTAGAAAAGGGAAGTAATTCCTGTAAAACAAAAAGGGGAAGCTCATAAAAAACAAACAGTGCGCTGGAGAACAAAATCGAGTGCCCGATAGCGCCATGTATAGCGGTTGCTCATTGGTTTGAAGGATCAGCGGTTACATCCTACAAGCGCATGCGCTCGGCGTCGTAAAGTCAACAAAAGCTAAAGGCCGCGTCCGAATTACTTCACAGCGACTTGGAATTATGAGATTCTATGGTATATAGTGGCTGAAGCAACTATCATAGACACCAGCGTAATTTCAAGTTACAGTCAAGTGAGTCGGAAAGATCCTTGGCCAACGATGCCTCCGAGTCGTCCACTTATCCATAGGCCCATTCAAATTTTAAATTGAATCTTCCATTATCTAAGCATTTGAACATCAACAGTGTATCAGGATTCGGTATTTGACCACTCTTTCGATAAATAAATTTATTCATAACGGTCATTTTGTTCATTCAAAATGCCTTAGAAGCCTTGGGAACAGGTTCATCAGCAATCGAATTTAATCAACTGGCAAAAACAGTAATTTTCAGTATTCTTTCTGCATATCCGTTCACGTGGTATGTGCTTCCTTATTCGTATTTCTATGAATGATTTTCCAAGGAAACGAAAGCAGAAATGACTTGCAATTAAATCCACGCGAAAACAAAAACAAATAGTGTTTTTCTGCCCCTACTGACTAACACCATCATTTCGAGAGGCAGAAATTGTCTTTTACACACTTGTCACACGGCAAATCCTGTAGTTACTAGGGCATTTTTTTAAATACAACACCAAGCACAAGAAGAATTTATCGCAGTTATAGGATGAAGAAGAACCTGAGAAATTTAGAGGGAGCGAACACGCGTCAATAGTTTGGAATCGCCAATCGACATAATCAATGTTGTCTATAGCTGCAGGATCTGGCCATGCGGTTAAGTTCAGACGTGAGAACGCGTCCTGACAGGGGGTGACATGATCATGGACCTCCTTGCCCACTCACTGTAATAGACAACCACCATTTGGGCGACTTACCTCTAACTGCAAAATATACGACACACGAAATAATGATATAAATATCAATGTTGTGCAAGGCGGAGATCACTGTGCAAAAAAATCCCCAAGCAAAATGAGGAGCCTTTGAAGAAGTGGGATACATGTGATGAAATCTGCAGAGAAAGCAGTTTATTCACGTAAAATGCTAATAAAGGGTTTTCCCGGCCAATTTCGGAAAATGCACGATCTAAGTTGTAAAAAAACGATTTCGATTTACAGTAGATTTTGAAAACCTGGTTTCATTTTTGCAATAACGAGCATTCGACGTTGTTTTGCATCCTTCAAATAAATGAACGTGCATTACGTATCAAGTGGTTACAAATACGTGACAGGGATTTGGGATTGACGTATTCCTTGCCAATCACAACAAATGTGCATTCTTATTATTTTACCATGACCTGTCAGAAGTGGGTATTCATTTCATTTGCTGTGATTTAAAATTGCAAAATATACGTTCAATTTGAATATACAAGGCTACACAAATCACGACACAAAGGTCACAAAAATGTCAAGTTACTCAGTGCTCATTTTCCCCTGATTCCTGAGACCACGACACCGAGGCATGCACGTGACTGCTTATGACCTTCACATCTAGCCCTGCTTTAAGTCACATCTTTTCCACGAGACTGTTGCATTCAGAGGTGTTCGTTCTGAAACTACACATTCTAGACCTAAGAACGACCAAAATGCAGGCAATGGCCTCCCCAAAATGCTGAAAATTCCTAAAATTTCAAATCGCTCAATTTTTTTCCTGAGGAATTAGTCTGAATGGTTTCTTGAAATTACAGTCATTTTATAGACCCAAAGAAACGTTTTAGCGTGTCTATTTAGTGGCTGTTTTCTTGTCACACGTCTTGTGTAAATAAAAGGCATGGGGGATCATCTCGAAAATTGACAGCTTGATGACTGCTGGAGTGGTGTAAAATAAACTAGCCTCTCGAGGTAATCCACGGGATATTATATTTGCCCAAGGCGAGGCCGAGGGGAAATAGAATGTTCCACTTATCCCCAGTATTCATTTGCGCACACTGCGCATATTTCAATATTGAAATTCTCCCACATCACGATAAGCTCCTTTCAAACGCCTTGAAAGAGACTGTTCAGTTTAAGCTGAAGCATTTCTCGATCAGAGAGCACAAAACTTGAAGCCCAACAGAAATCTTCAAAAGTTGTCTTATTGGACTCTATGCGATCGCATCAATTAATTCTTTCAGTTTACTAAGCACTGATCGTGTATGCTATCGAATTGTTTTTACATGTCCTTACAAACTCAACTCTGCAGTTGACGTCGACGTCGCCTGTCTATAAAAATGCTCTTACACAAGTACATGTATAAAACACTTGCAATTGTGGTCTGTACTTTGACAAGCGCCAACTTCCTTTTAGGAGATGAGTATTGTATACATTCTGTTTATTTTTGACGTTACAGTCTTTACGGTTGTACTTGTATAGTAATTCACAATGGATCAACTTCGAAACTTGCCCATTACCGACGAAGTACATGTACATTCGTCTACAAATATGATGTTTACACGGTTTATTCAAACATAGCTTGTTTTTGTAGTGCACAACTTCCGTAATATCTGAACGTGGCTTCAAGTTTGTCAATATAGTTAAAGTAACATATGGGGAATATTTCTTGGCGAGGTTTTGCTTGGCATACTGCAGAGATAGCTTCGCTTGCAGTGGTGGTTGGGGGGAGCGCAAAGTCTCCAAAGTATCCTTTGCCCCCCCCCCCCCACACATGTAATTTGTATAAACGCTGCATATTTCCGCCACTGGCCAGAATTGGACCGTTGCTTAGAGGGAAATTATGATTCTGTGCCTTGCCTTTCCAAAATTATTTCCACACGGCCCCAAGAACATTTCTTTCTTCCTGTATATAGAGTTTGCATGGCTGTCATCTTGTAGGCCAGTGTTTTGTTTCACAAGGTAGCCATACAGCAGGTTTCTGCTGCGGAAGAAAAGAACTGCCCTGCAAGATGGCTATCACACAATGCCTCTCAAATGTAGTCAGGCCCCTCGATCCACTGCCTACTTGCCTAGAAATGTTTGTTTACGGGCAGTCAGACGATGCGCTGCCAGAACAATCCCTGCACTCCCTGTAGTAAGTATATGCATAGTTTGTAGGGGCAAAGATAGACATCGAAACAGGCCCTATGTAAATGTAGCTAGGTCTTTTTTGATGGGTGCATGCATGTCGTTAAGTGGGGTACGTTGGTTACGGGATTATTTTCATCACACAATGCGAAATGGTTTCATTGCTAGTCTTCAGAGGATACTAGTCTTCGCCCCTGGTGGAACTTGAATTCAAAAATTCATTTCATTTCATTTCGAAATGCCAGTGGGCTTCCATAGCTACGGCTGGGTCTACTGTCTGCGAGTCTCCGTGTATTTCCAATGGAGAAAAGACCCAGACCTAGCTCCAGACAACAGTTTCCCGTGGCTTGTGGAGCCATGATTAGACGTATTTCGGGTTTAGATTTTATACCCACGTCTGTACTGCTGCACAGCCTGCCTTCCTGGCGCGCGTGCGCGTGCATGTTTAGCACGCTTAACCAAGTACGCCTCGAGTCCAAGACTAGTACATTGTCGGGTATTCGGATCGTCTCGTGAAGTTCCGCTTTCTGAGTTGCCGTTTATCTCTGAGTGGCCGTTCATTTCTAAGTTGTTCGTTCATTTCTGATTTAGTTGTTTGTTTATGAGTTGTTCGTTTATTTCTGAGTTGCAATTCTCTTTTCCTTTTCCATTTTTTCATACATAATGTTACAATTATTATAATTTGATATGTTTTGCTTGTGCATTTTATATTTATGTAGTTTTATTTACATTTGTTGTTTTTATTTATATTTTCATAATTATTTATTTTGGTTTTATTTGTTAATTTTGCTGTTGTCTTTTTTTGCCCTGATGGCCGCCCATGCTACCTGTGCCACTCGCGCCTTCTGCCATCTGCTTATCTGCTTTCAAAATGGTAGAAAAGCAGATTTTATGTTCTGGTAACATGCAATTTCGACTTTTCTACTTTTTTGCCACCTCAAAAAGCAGAACGAATATTGTTTGGTTATGCATTTTTCTATTTCTCTGCTTTTCTGATTCAAAAAAAGCTGATTGAACTTTTTCTTCGTTTGCTGGCGGCCGAAAAGCGGCCATATGCTTTTCTCCTTTGAACAGGCAGAAATAAGGATCGAACGTCTTGATAATAACCGTGAATTCTACTTTTTTTTGCTTTTTTTCTATATCGGAGGAGCAATTTTACATAGGCGGCCGAAAAGTGGCCATCTGCTTTTCTGCCTTCCAAGGGCCGTGAAGATGGTTGTGAACCTCAGGTTATAACCGTTTCCTTTCTTGGGGGATTGAAGACGTATAAACCAATATTTACACTCCACCCTATCTTTTATAATTAAAGATTCACAAGTTTTCCTTGGCCCAAGCAAGCTCGTGTTTCTATTGGATGATAGCTGTAAAACTGTATTTCCTTTGAGATACTGTTTTCTGAGCCTCATAGGTCCGCAGAAAGTATGCTTTAAGTATTTTTTCTATACGTCTTCACTCCCTCACAACGGAAACCTACAGGTTTATGATCCCATTCACGGCCTATTGCAGAAAAATTGAATTAATGATTGTCGTCAAAACGTTCAATCCACTTTCCTGCTTGTTTGCCAGGTAAAAAGCAGATGGCCACTTTTCGGCCGCCATTAAAAACAGGAAAAGTAAAACTACTTTTGTTGTTGCAGAAAAGTGGAAAGTCCATTGCAGTAAAATGGTCATTCTGCTTTTGAGGTAGCAGAAGAGTAGAAAAATTTAAAAAATGCATGTTGCAAAGACGTAAAATCTGCTTTTCTACTATTCTGATAGTATACCAAGGATCTTTACCCAAACATAAACCCACAGCAAGCAGAATGAGTTTTCTGAAATAAGTACAAGACAGTTTCACAACCAGAGGAAGGGACAATAATGATTGTTTATTAAAGATTATTTGACGTCACTAAATTGTGCGGGGGTTGTCAACACATGAATAATTTATGCAATGTGTGAAACCAACCCGTACATAGCTAGGGTGTAGTCTACTAATTCAAGCCCCATTGAAAACAGTGTAAAATCGGCATTGTTCAGGGCCCAATAACGTGCATACCAACATCCCTGAGGTATATAAAACGCACGTTAAATTATTGTGTGGTCTCTAATCTTTCAATTTCTTTTCAATTTTCTGTGGGTTACATTTTGAGTTATTCCCACAAAACAAAATTACTCCATGAATAGTGATTTTTCCGAAACCTGCTTGCAGTCATTTTTCAAGTCGCAACCCTCAACTTTCTCGGGCACTTAGGACCATTTTTCGACCTTCTTTTTTTTTTTAGCCAATCTGCTCTCAGATGAAAGCCCAAAGACCCAGGGAGTGAATTCTGGCAAAGGTTTACACAATCTCACTATTTTGGGGGCCATACAATCTCCTTTTTCAAAAGATACTGCTGGAGCACTTTTAACGCTAATGAGCTGGCCTGAAATTCTCACTAAAATTAGTAGAAGGCGCCATAGTGGAGATGCATGAATGGTTGGAATTCTTGGGGATGACTTGCCCCGCCATGGAAATCTGAAAGCGCGGGGTTGGGGTGCTGACACCATTTAACACCATATAGGGGCGATGTTTGGGATACAGATGTTCAGGATATTACATTGTAGAGTCTTACATAATCACGGCATATTGATGGCTTTGTTTTACTGTTCTTCCTATCGAGTGCTGTTGAATTCATTCTGGTAGTTTGGAAATTCGAAGAGTTCTTCACAATCTGTCTAAATTTTGCGCTCATCACGAAAAAGTGGAGGCCTAGCCCATCCCCGATCAAAGGGGGGAGGGTACACGTACATACCCCCATCCCCCGGGATTTACGCCATGGGGAGAAACTTGGCTTGCTTACATGTACTTTGAACGAGCATTTCTGCGCATTTGCACCGTATCTATGACATGTGCGTTTGTCAACCTTTACCAGAAATTGCCAGGGGAAAAAGACAACCCAGAACAGGTTTGCGGGACGTCTGGCGCGGGCGTCACGGTGCCCCCAACAAAAGTAGGCCTACAACATAAGTATGCCTATTGCATAATTCATGTTTCCGTGACGCCATTTGACCTGTCATCAGAATCAGCAGCATTTGCGTGCTTCCACCGGTTGTGATACATGCTGCCAGCATTCATGTTTCTATCGTGCGCGGCGCTCGCGCCATGATGTGGATCGAGTGCGCGAGTTGTGGGGAACTACTCGAGGACTGACATGACCGAGTAGGCCTACTGAGTCGAAGTTTGACTCAGACTTCAGAACTGAGCTGAGTGGCTGAAAGTGAAACGAATGACACGATGGATAAGTATGAGAAAATACGTGTGGTTGGGAGAGGAGCTTATGGGTACGTAACATTCCTGTGTTAGACGGTACCGTGGTACGGTATCAAAATGCTTTAACTTCCACTTAAGCCTACATGTACAAGTTTACATGTTTTAGAACTAGCCTAGTACATGTACATACAAGTACATGTACAGTGTGTACTTGATGCACGAAGCATAGTTTTAGGACTAGAACTGGAAAAAAACTCCAGGTCTAGTGGTTGAAGAAAGTCATGAAAGCGACAGTGAAGTTGCTAGGCCCAACGACGTTTGACAGCTGTTTTAATGACTACGGAGCTGTTGTGACTGACATAAACAAATAGGATGGAACTGAAGGATCTGATCAGCTGGGAAAACTCAAAGAGTTCACAAATTTTTCCATCCATGCAGTGGTTTATCAAAATCCACGAGACTGGGCTGAAAAATGGGGGTTTTTTTGCAAGTTAATGGTATTTTCCCCTGCTGATTTGGACTTTTAGGACATACTATCACAGACATCAGAAAATGGTAGATATCACTGTTTGATATCAGATACCAGCATCACACTGACATGACTGATAACACAATAAATATGCTGCTGGTAATGGTGAGGACATACCATACATGTATATGCAACATGTACATGTAGGCCTACATGCATGGCATAAAATGTATTAAATGTTTAGGCCTATGTTCAAATAATTTTTTTTCGTATTTTTGATGTTAGAAATAAAATCAGAAATTGGCAAAATTTGGAAGGTCATGTCACATTGTGTACACACTTTGTTTTCAATCAAGAGTGAAGAAGACATTACTTCATGTACATGTACTGATACACGTAGGCCTACAATGCCAAGATACATATACAAGTATGTACATTTTCACTTGTAGCTTTTCATATTAAAAGATTTGATCACACTGGTGTATCCAGGGGGCAGGAGGGCAACTTTCCTTGCCTCTGGTGACATTTTATCCTTTTTCAGAAAATTATTGTGCCAAATGAAGCGAAAAAAGGGAACAAATTACCAACCGGTATTTGTCCCACCCCGAAGCAGTTCAATCAATCAGTAGTATTCAATGATCAATAAATTTTCTTATAAATAGTGTTGTATAAATCACAAGAGTGAACAAGTTTCATTCCAGTTTTCTGAAACATTGTGCAAGACATTTTTTACATGGACTCATTTTTCTGAAGCTTTGCACAAAAAACGGTGACTTTGAAAACGTCGAAGTAAACAAATTGTTTTGATATCTTGACAGCAGCTGTGATTTCTGATTGTTTTTATACATCTGATTGCTGTGATTCTCGGATGTTACCATTTATTCTGTGCAGTTCATAGTGACACATGATATTCCATACTTTCAGCTCTAAGGGATGTCATTTTGCAAAAGTAACATGTACTGTGGCTAAGATGGCTCAGTTCACGTAGCATAGGACAATATATTGTCATTGACAGTCCAAACTTTTAGATGGCTTTATTGCATAGCTGATAGAGAGAATCAAAGAAGTGTGTCATCCCATCGCCAACCTACACTGTACGGGTTATCCCATAGTGATATGGTATGAGATACATGTAACTTGTAGCTGATGTACATGTACATGTAGTGGAATAATCGACTCTATGCCATTGCCAGACAAGTTACGTGTAAATCTCCTAGAGACTATGTTTTTGTCTCCATCTATTAATTAGTAATGAATGTACTAAATGTACAACATGTAGAAACCAAAACATTAGCCATTAAATATTCATGCATGCGTATTATGTTTGGCAAATGGGAACACCCAGAGAGATTATGCACGGCAGTCAAAATGTTAACAAGGAAATTTGGTAACTTTGCATGAGGAAAGTTAAGGGAATGCCAAAGTGCACCGCGTTAAGGAACTACATGTATCTTCATTGTTGAAAGTATTTGTACATTCATTTACATGTATGTATTTTAAGTATTGCATTATCGAATGCGCACTATCGACTTGGGAAGTTTTGTGTCAACTTGATCCGAAATCTACTCAGTCCAAGCATGGAAGAAGGAACTCGGAATTTTGGACAAGTTCCAAGTCAATGTGATCTCAGGGCAACTTAGACCCAAGTCAACTCCGCGGAATAAAATAAGTGGACATGTATACAAGTACATGTAAACATTTCGTAGTCAACTTGACCATTTGCCAACTTGACCATTTGCCAACTAGACCATTTGCCAACTCGACTGTTCTGAATTTTGTATTTGGCTAGTTTGTCATTGTTTTATACCAGGACGGTGTATCTCTGCCGTCGCCTCAGCGACCAGGAACTGGTCATCATCAAGCAGATACCGGTTGAGCAGATGACGGGTGAGGAACGACAGGTGGCTGTCAATGAATCCAAGGTACTCGCCATGTTGGATCATCCCAACATCATCAAGTATTATGAGAACTTCCTGGAGGACAAAGCCTTGAGTATCGTCATGGAGTATGCTGAAGGTTAGAGACTGCTCCTTTACAGACCTGAGTGGCTTTTCCCTAAACTCTCCTTGATTAATTGATGCTGATTTTCTTTTCGTAAGGTACCACTCTGGGCAAGAGGTTTTTTTGGTCAGAAAGTTTAATTGGAAAAAATATATATCAGTCACATTTTTAAAAAGAAATCAATTTCCTCAAGAACTCTTGAGAGCCACTGTATGTGTTCAGTGCAGTCTTGACTCTTGTGCTAATATATTGTATTCTTCCTGAGTTAATTATCCTTTTAATGGATTTCAATCAAAGGTAAATAAACTCAGGATGGATTTTTCTGCCCAAGTTTCAGGATGGCACTGAACACACTTGTATGTACTGCATCTCTGAAACACTTTGAGGCTTGGCCGTTGCATGGTGAGTATTCCCAAGCATACCATAAGTTCTCTGGCATTCTTTCTTCACAGACGTATTCCTTATACAGGTATTTCAATTACAGCAATCTTTTAAACATCTTTTCAGGTGGAACTCTGTTTGATTATCTGCAGCACAGAGGAAGTGCCCTACTAGAAGAAGGGGTGAGAATGGACAGCTTGGTCTCTTTCAATCTGAACTTCAACCTAACTTTGAACCGCAGAGCACCCCTGTTATTTTTGATATGTTGCCATTTGGCTCTGAAAACAGTGGATTAGCTAAATAAGATTGGCAAACTATTACTGGGCTAGAGGTCCCAATTTGTAAAAAAATGCAGTTTTATTTGTGAAGAAATGCTAACCAGTTCACAATCCACCCCCCCCCAAAGAATGGAAGATGAGAAGACCTGAAACAGCCATCACAGTTGGATGAATGTTCAAACATTGACACAAATCAAAACCAAACTTAAATGTGCTACACTTAACCAACTTATCTGATATGACAAGCAGCTGCCGTAATTGTCATAAATTCACTATAAATTATGTGCTTTGATAGACTGCGTCCGATTAACAGAGAGAATCTTTTGGTCCAGTTATCACTATGGTCATGTGACTAAAATGGGAGGTATTCCTATCATTTCTGAAAAGTTCTGAATCTGTCAGAATTGCAAAACCATTTTGATTAATGTTCAGTTTCATTTATGTTCAGAATTATGTATAAAGTATAAAATTGCCCTTTATGTTCTGAGTTTCATTTAGTGTTTTATGAATTCCCATTGCCACTTGTGCTAAGTGCTTGATAAAGCTGAGCGTTATGGACACGCACAGGCTGGATCTTAAATATACACTGTTGGACATTCTGACGTGCTATTTTTGGTGGTGCTGGTCAGCTATTAGAATAAGAGATGTCTAGTGCCATAATGCATATGGTTACATCCCAAATGCTGACAAAGTCTGCAACTTTGACATTATCCAGGAAGTTCTGCGCCTGTTTTGTCAGCTGCTCCTGTCCCTTCAACACGTCCACTCTAAGCAAATCCTGCACCGAGATCTGAAGACGCAGAACATCCTGCTCAACAAGCGACGGGATGTCTTAAAGATAGCCGACTTTGGCATCTCCAAGATTCTCAGCAGTAAGAGCAAGGCCTTCACCGTGGTAGGCACTCCTTGTTACATCTCTCCTGAGCTGTGTGAAGGCAAACCGTATCCTTGCTCCTGGGCCAAAGACTTGGCTCAAATTGTCGTCATAATGAATAAAAATTTTTTTAATGAGGCAAAGAACGATTAGCAGATACACCATAATTCTTGTTGCCACGTGTCTGGCATATGAATATGCATGATTACTTTCATGTACATAATTATCAGCACCTGTAGCTTCTTACAGCTATCACCTCAGCCTCTGTGTTTGTCAAAGGTGAAATGGTAACTTGCACCTGGAGAAGATCAAAAGCTTTCTTTTGCTACATCACAATTGTACTTTTTCCAAACCTTTTGTTTGCTGCATTCAAGTTGTACTTTTTCCTAGTCAGCGGTTTGCAAACTGTGGCTGATAGCAAGAACTGACACAGATATTGAAATGTTGAATTGTAAACGTTGCTGGTGAAAATACCTCCTTCTTCAGCTGAGACTTCTTTGGAATTAGGTCTTGATGCCACCTATACTTGAGTTATCTACATGTCTATTAATTTACTGGGCTGGGTGCTAACTTGCTGTACAAAGTGAAGCCTGCTGGGCACATCCGTGTTTTGAACAAACCTGTAGAAAACTCCACAGTTTTGTATTTGGTGTTTGTACGGCCCGTTGCATATCGCCTCTATTCTAAAAGCACATGTACATGTATGTTCCGTTAAAGAAAATTTGCCATGAAACCAAAATGCATAGTCAATAGATGGGAATTGTGATTTGCTTTGCTTAAAATGGGGCAAAGGAAATTAATAATGCAGTTTTGAGAAATAAATGTTAGGGTAGGTTTACCAATTTTCAGAAATCATTTGTTAACTGGTTACACTGTCAAACTCAGCGTTGATAATGAACATTACAACATGTTGGCATATGTGTGAAGTGTTCTTTCCTTGACATACTGATCCAGTTACAATCAGAAAAGTGACATCTGGGCTGTAGGCTGTGTGTTATATGAACTGCTTACCTTCAAAAGGGCCTTTGAAGCAGATGTAAGTCATGTGTATATCGTACATTTCAATGCTGTTCTGGCTTCCGCAAGTGGGAATGTAGGAAAGACAATCAGCTGCCATGTTAGAAGTTTTATTTTTGAAATTAGAATTCGAAGTTTTGACCATCCATGAACCTGAAAGCTAGCCCCTTATTCCTTTTTCAGCTTGGGGTTTTCCTAAATTGTGCTTGCAAATCCGTGCAGGAAAACTAATAGCACGTTCTTTGTACTTTACCTTCTAAGGGATGTTGTACGCTAAGCCCAGTGCAAAGAAAGAAATGGACTGGGATCTACCTCTTCTAATCTTGAAAATCTTCCCAAATTTCCAAGTGGATTTGTGAAGGACTGCAGAAGGATTTAGTGGAAGATGTTTTTTCATGAAGTAGTATCTCAGCGTGTGTAAGAAGCATTGCACTGCATGACTGATAAAGAACAAATGTTTGACCGGCAGTAGGGAGCCATTACTTGCTGTATGCATGTACAGTCATTTGCAAAAGTTGAAGACCACCTGGAATTTTATTGGTATTTCTGTCTTTTGGCCTGCATTCCATGGTCTCATTGAATGATTAGTCAATATGTTTTACAGTGGTGTATAACACCAGTGTAGTGCACATACCCATTTGAAGGAATTTTTTTTGTAAAGGCAGATGTTGTATGACATTTTGTCTGCAAGGCAGCATGGGGGAAAAAGCCAGCCTAAGTTACCAGATATAAAGGAGGGCACACTAAATATTAGTGTTAAATATATACATTTCAAATCATGGAAATTCAGTCAAATAGCTGTTTAACCAAGATACTAAGTTTACACATTGAAAATAAACATAAGTTGCCATGATTGATGGGTTTAAGTTTGGTTTTTCTTCAGGTTAATGCATTTTGTATGGGTGGTCTTAACTTTTTCAAATGACTCTAAGTAATGGCGCTACGACCAGTATTAAAGATGTAGTGACATGTGCAATGTGCATGTACATGTACCTGTCATTAATGCATGACCATCGTCTGATTTGGGTGTCACTGGGGTAATGGCATCTCCATTGACAAGTCTCCAGGTTGAGAATTGATACTTGATTGTTTCATGCTGCATGTTTGCCCTTCAGAATCTCCCTGCTTTGGTGATGAAAATAATGCGTGGATTCATTGCACCAATCTCGGACCGCTACAGTGACGAGTTGAAACGGCTTTTGCTGCAAATGCTGCACTTGGATCCTGACAAGAGACCGTCCATCAACCAAGTGATAGCAGAGCCGATCATCATCAAAATGTTGGCCAATGTCTATATGGAGATTGGACGGGTCAAATGCCCGCTGAAGTAAGTTGAGAATATTGTTAAACAACAGTGACAAAATAAGAGTTCATGCAAATCCATGCCGGTTTTTGTTTAGAATAATTTAAATTTTGTGATAAATTACATCTACATGTTTTTAAGCCACATTTAAAAAATACCTGAAAG